ACCCTCCAGGAAGCATCCTCGATACTCCAGCATTGATCCTTTTTGAAAATATTGCCATTAACACGTGAGATAAACATTAACTTTCAGTTTGTTCTTTGCACTAATACACAGCTGCAAAAGTAAAATACATCTACCAGAAACAGCATGATGAGTTGTCGTAAAAAGAGAAACCTTCCCATTCTGGAAGAGTAATTTTTTTATTGAACAAAAATGACAGGCAAACGTTCTCTCACTTTTGTCCTGTCCTACATCTAACTACTGCGATCGTATAGTGAATTACCTGTCATAGAGTCTGGACCTCCCAAGGATTATTGACAACCCGTTAGTGTACGTACCTCACAGAGTTCAGAAACCAATGTGAAGTGCGATCTTTCTAGCCCATATTCATACCTTAGGATTAGCCAAATTGACCAAGGCTGTCAAATTAGATCCATTTCCATTGAACCCCACTCTAGACCAATCAAATTATGCATCCACTTTTGCAATGAAATGTTCTAAGGGCGCAAAGAGCGAAAGTGAGCGTTACCCGTGGAGTATCGAGGATGTCGATTAAATTCAGGTACATAAATAGATGTAAGTACTGTTTGATTTTTAAATACGCAATATACTGCACCTGTTATAGAACGTATCTGCCGTTCGTTCACCATCAATGGAAAGTTCAATATATTTTCGAAATCAATATCAATGCCAGCTATAATACCAGTTGTCTCCATACTTAAGGATCATTGTCTTCATGTTAAAAAAGGCGCATATTTCAGGTCTCTTACACCTACGTAATGGAATCAGGAGCCGATAACCTTAATAGAGTAACAGTTGACAAAGCCTCGTTTACAATATATTTACAACATATCTTTCCAATTTTGTGCCTTATGAGAAATACGTTTTGTTGGTATCGGTTTTACTGTTTACATACATACTGCTGGGTTCAAAGTTCAAAGTTCAAAGTTAACGTTATCGACAGTTTATCATACCTTAGGTTAACAAGAATGCTTTATACTATTGCCTAACAGAGATATGGAAAATCCCGTTTTAATGTTATTGGCAATTGCATGAGATTGATAATAAAGGGTAATTTGATGTATCCCAAATAGACTACTGAAACACTGTGGTTAAGGATATGAAGCGAAAGTGATTATAACATAGGGTTGTGTATGAAAGCTTGTTGATTATTGGATATTAATTCATTATCATTACTTATATATTTAAGCTTATTAGACTACACACCATTACTTAACTAACATGACTCTATTTCGATATCATATTACATAAGCTCCTATGGCATGAAATTAATGAATATTTAGTAACTGATAAACCTTTTATATCAAAACATGCAAGACTTCATAACTTGAACTCACTGACATGGCTCTCTTGTGTTACGATATATCTGCAGGATAAGCAACCACTCAAACTTCAAAGAGAATAAAAGCAAAGAACTGTCAGAAAACTGAGAAGTTCACAGCACAAGGTATCGAGAGATGTGGGTTGATGAAACTATTTGGGAGGTTGTATGTTGTCATATGCTCTTATTTGGAAATGTGCTATAAAGTCATGTAAAGTCTTTGATGCACAATGGTATACCTGTCGATACTGTTGCTGTTTATTGTGTTCTAATTTGAGAGCTGGCCATTATTTACTTGGTAAACCAATATTTACATGGCGGATGTCGTCGATGAAACCGGAGAGATGTTACTCTTCCGGATCACTTGGTATTTTCATCATCGTACTTTTTCAGGAGTCTCGGTGTAAATCTTTCTTTTGATTATATTTTGCCCTGGTGTTCATACATTTGAGTTTAGCTTATGATTATGTTGACATACTGGTTTTATCTTTGTTAGTTTTCAAGGCTAAAGTGGATAAAAACTTTGATCGGGATGTTTCTTGTGAACGGTCAAACTCGAATTTAAGACATTCCAAGTTTATGAACTTTTTTATTTGATTGATTTATGGGTTAAAAGGTCAAACAGCAAGGTCGATGTTGCTATGAATTAAGAAAATAAAATAGGTCGGGATCAATAGGTAAGTTCCAGTGAACAAAATTTCAAAAACTGCCGTCTTACCAGGAGTGCTTTATTGGGATTGACTTTGGTGTCAAAATGTCAAACACCAAGGTCACTGTTACTAAAATTGGAAAAACACTGTTAAAATACATTATTCAATTCTTGTATTGTTTATCTTACTGGTAAGTATTCTTTATGGAATTATGAAATAAAATTGACGGAAATAAAATGACAAGTTGCCTGAAAATAGGCCTGGGGGTCAAAGGGAAAGGTTAAAGTTTGAATAATTTACCAATAAATACTTTATGACTTTATGAAGCATAGTTGGTAAGATTCGAATATAAAATCGCCTGACTACAGGTCAATGTGACCTAGTCAAATATGAGGTCCATTTTCTGTCATTATACTTCGCATTAATGACGTTATCCGCCAATATTGACTTTTAATTTTCGTATAAATTGTCCTTATGTTATATTATATATCTAAACAAGTTACTATGTCGTTTTCACTAAATGAGAAATTAAAATATCTACTGATTTTATGTCTTACAAATAAAGTAATAGAGATGTAACGATACACCATATACCTATCTCACAATTACCTTACGTATCTGATGACGTCATATTACAGATCATCGGTCATGCATGATAAAATCTTAAATATTGCTGTTTTCTAGTGATAACTAACATTAACACCCACAATATTCTCTTAATACAGATATCTTACTTTGTTCGGATTATCTGGTATCCGGTTTAAACGCGGTCAACGACAGTGAACTGACAGCGTCCAGTGAATTAACAGAATATCCGGATTCCGACTTTGGTCCAAGAAATGCTAGGCTTTATTATCAAGGTGATACTTCAATCACACCGAAGAGAATGGGAGGATGGATGCCTGGTCTATCTGAATACGAAAACTCGTACATACAGGTAAGGGGTGAATAGACTACATATGACATTAAGGAACGTGAAGGTACTTATCTCAATGTCTGTTTTCATCAGCTAATTTATGTGGGAATTGATAGTGTGTTGGAATAAGGTAAGGGTTTATCATTATTACTGTACAAAGAGCTGTTCGCCGCAGATTTTTTTGTTTATATTTGTTCCTATGTTAATACAATAAAATGTAGGTAAAATAATACGGCGAATTCGGCACTGACCGGATAAGCAGTCATATGAAATGGCGAAATTAAAAGAAATTTAAAAAAAACGCATACATCACTTAAGTTTATTTGTTTGAGCATGTTGGACTTGTTTATTTTTGTGTTTGACTCACAGAGACTTAGCATGAATTCCAACCCACGGCATTAATAGGTATTAATGTATCAACGGGTATATCTCTCAATACAGTTGCTTTATATTCTATCATTAGTTGATTTTAAAATGTTATCCGATATCTAATGAATAAATTATCAATATATTTTTTTTCACAGTTGAGTGCGTCGTACAAATAACAATGATATAGCATATACATATTCCACTATGCGCATCCTTTCGTAAACAATTATTGATTCACATATCAAAAGCTATGGACCATATACGGTAGATTTTTTTATTTATTCACTCTACCTTGTCATAAACAAGACTGTAATTTCAGTATATTTGGGGTGTTAACGATAGTGTAAACGTCAAATAAGAGTAAACTACACCTTAAAATACATGTAATTCATTCTTTAATTTTAAAGTTCTGATGAAGATAAAAAAAAATGTTTCAAGAGAATATAAATGTTAAACTACTTCTAAATATCTATATACCTATAAGGAATCTTACATAAGTGGATATGTTATTATATGAAACGAATCACAACCTTTTTCAATGCTCAATAAAAATGTAACGAGTTTCATAAATTACATGCAAAATAAAGAACAAATTCAAGATCTTTTTCATCACGTGATCGATTTTCCTAGCAAACATAAAAATATTGAAATTTGTGGCTATATACTTATGCCGTCTATTGCTACATCGCAATATCATCAGTGACATCATTTCATTATCTAAAGTGACATTACTGTAAGTATATTACATATATGCAATATATAAAATATGACATAAGGATGTATATTATTTGAAATAAACGAGGCATCCATGTAATAAAGGCAGATTTTGGCAAAATGCACCGGTTGATTTTGATAATACTGCAATGCTAAATTCTCCTTATGCAAAATTTACCAAAAGAGGGGGTATTTGTTCAGTAGCACAATATTATTGTATTTGTTATGCTGTTTTCTGTTTTTTTTCCTTGACTTTCCTGGAAGTGATGTCAATATCATTGCAAAAACAACATATCTTTCCTAGAATTCTTTTATTGCTATCACTATGAGGAAGATCTACAGTCGTCATCATAAAACTATCAAAATATTCTATTTCCCTGTTCCCTGAATTTTAATGGGAAGATCGGAAGGTACTTTTAAACAGCAGGTATGATAGTATTTGTGAAATTTAGATTTAATAAAAAATATTTGCTATAACACTGAATGCCAAGGTTATATCACTGTTATCAACGATTTCCCTAGAAAGGGTCATTATATGTAATGGCAGGATCTATCATCGTGGATATTTATAATGAAGGAGAAGATGTTAACATGTCAGGGCTTCTAGTCTGATTGTCTTATTTCTTTTAAAGATCTCCATGTAAATCTCTATTTTGCCTTTTTCCTTTAATTTGAATTTGAGAATTTATGTTTTAAATATGATATCAACTTCTGTCATTCTGAATCTACCTGGCATATTTTCTTTCATTTTCCTGAAGTGAAAACTTAAAACTTAAAACTAATTTTATCAATAATAATTACCTTTACGGCCCATTGGTTCAGATGTTAGGGTATCTTCATATAATGCAATATAAAAGATGTTTGTGACTGATATGATTAACTGTCTGCTTTTCTCTATATGTTTTTCGAAGATCAACATCTTGACATGTAGACATATCTTTATTCAAACACCATTTCAAACAGTCAATAGGATGAGAAAGCAGGCTAAAGCCTATATCAGTCCCAAGACAACATGGTGATCAACACCAAATCAATTAAAAAGGACCCCTCAAAATACAAAGATAAGATCAAAGTAAGTTAAAGTTGATAAACTTAAAGCATTGTTCACACATACGTCAAAAACAAAGTTTAGCCCACTTGAAATAACTACGGAATTCGCGAGTTAAAAGAATGTTAAAGTAAATGCCCTGAAGAAGATTACGGCAAATAAAAGTATGTATTTGTTCATGTCCTTTTTTAAAATACAGTAAAGAACGGTAAATTATGTGTAAGTACGACAAATTTTCAAGTTTGTCGTAGTTAACTGTCGAACATGTTAAAAGATAAATCGCCACTCACGTTTTGAGGAGGTTTTTACAATCTGAAGTAAAACTACGACAGTAAGTTAATGTACATTAAATCACGTTTGCATACCTCTTTCTAAATACGGTAGGCTATGTTATTTTGTGTATCGGTGACAAGGGTTTAAGTGTGGACGTTCTCAAAAGAGAAAAGCCAAGATGATTATCTCAAAATCTTGTGTTGTGTGTTGAATTTATGACGTTCATAAGCGTTTTGAATATGACCACGCTAACATGACTTATTCCTCGAAACATACAGGTGAAGTTCCCTCGAGTGACAACAATTAAATCAATAACAACACAAGGGCTATACAATACCAAACAGCTATGGGTCAAAACCTACAACCTGCTGTACAGCATGGACGCTTTCACGTGGGCTACAGTGACGTCACAAGATGGATCCCCTCTGGTAAAGATTATACGTAAACATAAATTGACTACGTATCGTCAGTTATATAATTGAGAAAGTATTTTCTTTTCTTACCTGATGGATTTGGACACACAACGTATATCTTAAAGCATGCACACAAACAGTTTCAGAGATAAAGTTATGTATTGTTTTATTTAAAAAAAAAAAACCGTTTAACTTGTACCTTTATCTGTTTTAATAGCTATTCGATGGAAATAACACGCCTGTGACAACTGCAGTTTTACCAAACGTTGACGCCCTGGCCATACGTATTAAACCTGTGTCCTGGAATATTTACCCCGTATTGCGATTTGACGTCGGCGGCTGTCATGAACGAACCAGAAATGGTGAGAGGCTACCACTGACCGACTTTTCAATTATTCACTTCGTTCAACCAATTATGAAAAACCAAATAAAGGAATAAACATTCACAATAATGTATTGATGCAGTCGGTCAACAGACTAGGCCCTACCTCGACATGTCGAAATCGTGTTTTGTAGATATGGTATTCGAATCGAGAAAGAAATTTCTTTTATCAAAAATAAAAATTAGTTAAAAAATAAATAAATAAATAACACTTTTGATTTAAATTTCAGTGAACACTTTATGGATTTCAATTAGCTGTCAAGGCTCGAATGACTGCGTATGTTTATAGATAATTTCAGTCCTCGCGACTACTGGCGTCCATTAACTCCACACCAGGAACATTAAAACGTACAAGATCGCGTGTAGTAATTGAAAGTGATGCCTATTATTTTAAAAATGCATCTTCGCTGGAGGAATCGACTCCATATCACAGATATTATTATTCAAGCACTTGTGATCGAAATCATCCTTTTGAACAAGCAGACAGACGGAATGATATTTGTTTTCCGATAACGATGGGTAATTTGAAACAGATAAAATTATTTAACGTACATAATGACTAATGATGTATGTATTATTCATCCAATCCGCCATTAAAACGTACAAGTTCGCGTGTAGTAATTGAAAGTGATGCCTATTATTATAAAAATGCATCTTCGCTGGAGGAATCGACTCCATATCACAGATATTATTATTCAAGCACTTGTGATCGAAATCATCCTTTTGAACAAGCAGACAGACGGAATGATATTTGTTTTCCGATAACGATGGGTAATTTGAAACAGATAAAATGATTTAACGTACATAATGACTAATAATGTATGTATTATTCATCCAATCCGCCATTTTGTTTCACCATTTCCAGTTAATGGCATAACGTCATTGTCCATAGTTTTGTATTTCTTTTTTTTCAAACATTTTATTGACTAAGATGAGACATACATAAGATTACAAATGTGTCCTCACACAGGAGGGCTCTCATACTTTCACACATCATTCAGACTTCTCATATTCCAGACTATAAAATACATGTACACACACCTACACACATACTGTTAGTCTTAAATGTTCATACTAACATTCCTTACATTCAACATTACGACTGCTAACAATAAGCTAAATTTAAACATAACTGTACACCTCTCACCATTCTCAATGTTACCACATGTACACAATTCACATTTACAGGATTCCCCCACCCCTCCCCCAAGAAAAAAGAGTGACATTGTGTGCAAAAGGGTACCCCGGGGCATTGTCAGAGGGCCTAACCCAACTGAAACATCACTCTTGATATGTGTTTTGTTACTAATGATCTTACAATATAAAAAGGGGAATATATATAAGCAACGTTAAGTATTTTTATATGTCCAACGCATTTTCAAAACATCTCCATTTTTGTTGAAATTCCGCTAATCTATTATTCTTTATACTAACCCACTTTTCAGTTTTCATTGTCATTTGGAATAAAATTTTACAAATTTCAAAGTTAGGTATGGACTCTTTAACTCGACAAGAGTAAATGTGCCGTTTTAACAATAGTATTAAATTATTCAAACAGAGTCCGAATTCAGGTTTTCCAAACAAAATATCTACTTCTCTTAACGATGTATATATATGTAAATTATTGTACTGTACATACCAGGCAGTAAATTCCTCAATTAGTCGGATTGTGAAATAACACTGGGTGAAGATGTGTTCCACTGTTTCTGGTTCTCTTTCACAGAAAGTACAAAGTTCATTGGATGCTATTTTCATTTTGAATAAGATATAGTTTGTAGGAAGTATTCTGTGACAAATTTTATATTGAAATGCTTGAAGTTTGGTCTCTTTTGTACATTTAAAACAACTAGTGTATACATCACCCCAACTAATATTTTCGTTAAAATTCATTTTTGTTGCCCATTTTACTTGACATCTTAATGGCTTAATAACTATATTTTCAATGAACATTTTATACACACACTCCTAATTGAAGAAATGATGTCCTTTCCTTTAATAGGAGTGATAGTGTTAGCATTTTCTACTTCTTGTCTTAATTCTAACTTCCACTTTCTTTCCAACTTATTAACTAAAGACAAATGCTCAATAAAATCAAACGATGGTACATCAGAGAATTCAACGTAGTTTTTAAGTACCCCATTTTCATAAAGATCACTAATGCTTTTCAGCCCATGCTGACTCCAGAGAACAGCCTTTTTTATTTTCTTGTATGGAACTAAATTGATCAAACTCTTGCCCAAATATTCCTGAATAGTTGTTGCTTCAAATTGAATTTCAGATAATGCAAAACATACATCCTGCCAAAATTGACTTTTTACATTTTTTCCAATTTCTCTCAGTTTTACTCTGTCAAGATCAAATAAGATATCAATATCAACAGGAAAGATTTCATCAAGTAGTGATTTCCATGATGCATTGAATTCTCCATAAACTCTTTTTATCCATTTAACCTTTAAATATTTAATAAAAGAAACCAAATGTGTCATATTCAGTCCTCCATCTGCTAAGCTAGCAATTAATATATCTCGTTTGATCTTTTCACTTTTATAATTCCATACAAAATTGTAAATACTCTGAGTTTATTCATGAACAGGCTAGAAGGGTTTGGTAAACAGGTGAATAAGTGTACAAATTTTGGTATAATAAGAGTCTTTGCAATAGTTATTCGACCTATTAAGGTGAGATCACGACATGACCAGAGTCTGAAAATTTTATTTATTTGGTGCAATTTACTATCAAAATTTATCTTTTCCATATCCTGAATATTAAGAGAAAAAGTTACACCAAGTAACTTAAATTTGTCTGTTGACCATTTCAAATTCAATTCTGGGCATATTCTGTCTTCTGAAAATTTCTTACTCCCAATCCAATATAAGCTTGACTTTTGTAAATTAACCTTTAACCCTGATAAAATAGCAAAATCTTCTAAAATGTGTACAGCAGTAGAAAGAGAATGGCTGGATCCATCTAAGAGAAGATAAGCATCATCTGCGTATTGCCCAAGTAAAAAATCTTTCCCAGATATTACCAAACCTTTGATACCATTGTCTGATTTCAATGATAGTGCTAATAGTTCAACAACAATAATAAAAAATATACGGTGATAATGGGTCCCCTTGGCGGCAGCCACGTTCGAGACTGAAGAAAGGCGATATATGACCGTTATTAATAATACAACTTTTTGAATCATTATACAAAGTCTTGAACCATTTACGTAAAGATAAACCAAAGTTAAAAGATTCCAAAGCTTTATCAATAAAATTCCATTCTACAGAATCGAAAGCTTTCTCAAAGTCCAAAAGATACAATAACCCAGGCTGATTTTTTTCATCTAGAAATTGCATTACATCATACAATAGCCTAGTGTTATCTCCAATAAATCTACCTTTAATAAAACCAGTTTGAGATTCACTAATAATATTCGGAAGTACTTGTTTGATTCTATTTGCTATTGCTGCAGACGCTATTTTGTAATCAATCTTCAAGAGTGATATTGGTCTAAATTTTTTCAAATATCGTCTATCTTTTTCTGTCTTTGGAATACATGTGATAACTCCTTGACTCTGAAATTCCGAAAGGTGACCAGTACTGTATGCATAATTAATTGACCTGCATAAAAATATTCATATATCTTTCCAGAAAAATTTATAAAATTCTGCACCAAAACCATCTGAACCTGGACTCTTGTCATTTTTCATATTTTTTAAAGCTTTTGACAATTCATCTATAGTTATAATTCCTTCACAGCTATCCCTATCAGTTTGATTTAATTTAATTTGATGTCTTAAAAAATAAGAATTATCAACATGAGTATTGTCTCCTTGTCTAGAACTATAAAGGTTTTTGAAAAAATCAACTTCAGCCTGAATTATCTCCCTTGGACTGTCAAGAATTCTACCGTCATCTGCAATAAGCTCTACTATAGATTTATTTACAAAGTTTCTTTTTTCTAAATCACAAAAATATTTTGTTGCCTTTTCTCCATTTTCATACCAATTTGCTTTGGATCTAATTATTAATCCTTCTATCTTTGTTTTCCTAATATTTTCCAACTGTTGTTTTTTATTTTCGTATTGTAAACATAGTTCTCTGTTGGGCGACTCTTTGATTTGATTTTCTAATACAGATATTTCAGTTTCTAGACTGTTTTCTTCCCTCATAGTATTTTTGGCTTTAGATACTTAGTATGAGATAGTGATAGACCTTATTTTCAAAAAATAATTGGTCATTAATTCTTAACTCTAATGTTTCTTTATTCCCCGAACTATAGTATTCTTCAATGGTTTCCTCGATGCAATCTCTTACTTGTTGTATGTAAGTTAAATCCTTCAATAATGATGTATTGTGTTTCCAAAACCCTTTACCCTTTTCAGAATTTTTGAAATTTATTTCTAAAATAATACATGAATGATCAGTTCTATAACCTGGTATAATTTTGCAATCTTTGGTTCTTGAATAGATATCATTAGAAATAAGAAAGTAATCTAATCTACTTTGTCGAACTGGATTTCTTTGCCTCCATGTAAAAGATTTTAATTCGGGATAAAACTGCCGCCAAGGATCAATCAAATCATATTTGTCCATTATATCTCTAATTACTTCTTGTGCTTTTGGATTATTTATGTTTAATATGTTATATGCATCCATATTCTTGTCCTGAACAGAGTTCCAATCCCCACATAATAGCACTTATGAATTATTGAAAACTAGCAAAGTGTTAAAAAATGTATTTAAAAAAGTAGAAGAATCGTGATTAGGACCATAGACACAACCTATTGTTAATCTATTTTGGTTTATTGATATATCTGAAAGGATGAAACGACCCACTCTGTCTACTCTGCTACCATGAATAGAAAATTCAAACGTATTTCGAAACAAAATTGCTACCCCAGCTGATCGTGAATTGAAGTTACTGAATATACATTTATACCCCCACTCCCTTTCCCATAACGCTTCTACTTCACCTGTACAATGCGTTTC